AGGTCACTCTTTGATTTAGAGGAGATGCCTCTAACCAATGTAGATTTTTCATGGTTTATTGATGGTCCTTATTTAAAGGAAGAAAACGATAAATACTGTGCTGTGTATGCTATTATAACTCCTTTTGATATTGTTGAAGTGACACCTTTGTTCTTCGTTCAGTGGCTAAATCCTATCCGACTCTTTGCCACCCCATGGACTGCAGCATGCCAGGCTTCCCTGTCCTTCACTGTCTCCCGGAGTTTGCTCAAACACATGTCCACTGAGTCGGTGATCCCATCCAACCATCTCATCCTCTGTCGCCCTCTTTTCCTCCTGTCCCTAATCTTTCCCAGCAACAGGGTCTTTGCATTAGGTGGCCAAAGTATTGGAGCTTCAGCATTAGTCCTTCCAGGGAATATTCAGGGTTGATTTCCTTTAGGATTGACTGGTTTGATCTCCTTGCAACATCTTTACCTATGGCTTAATTACCCTGCAGACTGAATTATATGTTTCTCACCGAGGCTTTTAAGTTTAGCAAAGGCAAAACTGCTTATATTTATACTGAGAGTCAGTATGCCTTTGGAGCAGCCTATGACTTTGGGATAACATGCGATCCTCTGGACTGTAGCCTGCCAGGTTCTCCTGTCCTTAGGATTTTCCATGCAAGAATCCTGGAGTGGGTTGCCATTCCCTCCTCCAGGGGATCTTCCCAACCCAGGGATTAATCCTCCGCCTCCGTATCTCCTGCATTGCAGGCAAATTGTTTACCACTGAGTCACTACAGAAGTCCCCACAGCTGATAAAAAGAGATATATTTTAACATTGTGTGTGTTAGTCACTCAGTTGTGTCTGACTCTTTGTGACCCCATGAACTATAGCCCACTAGGCTCCTCTGTCCATGAGATTCTCCAAGCAAGAATACTGGAGTGGGTTGCCATTTCCTTCTCCAAGGGATCTTCCCGACCCAAGGATCGAATGCAGGTCTCCTGCATTGCAGGCAGATTCTTTACCATTTGAGCTAACCGAGGAGCTCAGAAAAACAAAAATCTATCTATATCAGCGACTGGAATACTGAGTGGGTTGCCATGCCCTTCTTGAGGGGATCTTCCCAACCCAGGGATCAAACCCAGGTCTCCTGCACTGCAGGCAGATTCTTTACCATCCGAGCCACCAGTATTCTTGGGCTTCCCAAGAATACTGGAGTGGGTAGCCTATCCCTTCTTCAGGGGATCTTCCCAACCCAGAAATTGAACCAGGGTCTCCTGCATTGCCTGCAGATTCTTTACCAGCTGAGCTACTATGAAGAAGATTGCTGTACCAGAGCATTGTTATTTTTAATGAAAGCAATTAAGCCTTTATTATAAAATCTTCTTCATAGTGTACTCTTGGGAGATGAAGACCTTAAGTATCACACCTTTCAACCTAGAGATTTCATCTATTGCAAAAGACACCTCAAGAAGGACTCTCTTCAGCCTCTCTGGAAAGGCCCCAGCTGCTGCTAACCTCCCCTTGTGCTGCCAAACTCCAGAGAACAGACTCTTGGATTCATGTAACACATCTAAAGAAAGCACCAGACCCTGACTGGACCTGCACACCATCTGGTGACCTGAAGGTAAAGATTTCCTGGAATTGAAGCAGATGACATCCAATGAGGCAGCTTGCCCCAGATGTCTAGACAAAGCCTGTTAGAAGGTTCAGTATTCACAGATGTGGCTGTCTTTCATCTAGACTATAAAACTGACCCTGGATTCTTAGCCAAATTCAGTCTCTGCATTTGCAGCTTACAATCTGTATCGCTGATGAAACATCTGATTCCAAAGAGTTTCTTTGGAGATAACAATACTGTCTAATTATTCCATGTTTATTCCTACACTGTGTCATTCCAAAGTTCTTGTTAATTCCTTCAGTTTTGAGCATGACTTTGCTTCCCATTTGGCACTCATGGTAAAGAACTTGCCTGTCAATGCAGGAGACAAAAGAGATTCGGGTTCAATCCCTGGGTGGGGAGGATCCCCTGGAGGAGGGCAGGGCAACCCACTCTAGTATTCTTGCCAGGAGAATCCCATGGGCAGAGGAGCCTTGTGGGCTACAGCCCATAGGTTCACAAGAGTTGGACACAACTGAAGCAACTTAGCAACAAATTGCTGTATTCATTCTTTTAAGATACAGACTTTTAGATGGGAAATTCCTGAGAGATCTCCTCCTGCCCACCCCGCCTTGATACCTAAATGTGACCACAGTGGGTGTCCAATATGTGCACTTTCCCTCTGACATAGGACAAGACACTCAAGAAGGGTCCTTCCTGGCATCCAGGGGCAAAAGGTGATTGAACACTAGTTAAAAAAACAAAAAACCCTGAGTCTTGATCAGGGATGCTCTTGGAGAAAGATCTTGATCCAAAGGGAGACATGTGAAAATTAATCAAGGGAAACCTTACTAAAATGGACTGGGGAGGACAGAAAGGGGACTACTTGACAGTCAATACACATCCCAACAGGAAGAATCAATACAGATCTCCAGCAGGAAGTAACTCTACTAGCGCCAGCAGAAGGAGGAGAATTTTTCTCCTTTCCTGACAACAGCTTAGCCAATGGGAGATTCTCACAACTCAGTCACTGAAAAGTCACCATATTTGGGACTCCCAGTTTCCTCCAGCAAGCTTTATAACTATCCCTCCCAATTTCCATATCTCTTCTGTAGAAGAATTCCCTCTCCTTTGCTTGGGCTTCCCTTGTGGCTCAGCTGGTGAAGAATCCAGCTGCAGTGCGGGAGATCTGGGTTCTGGGTTGGGACGGTGCCCTGGAGAAGGGAACAGCTACCCACTCCAGTATTCTGGCCTGGAGAATTCCGTGGACCGTATAGTCCATGAGGTCACAGTCCAACACGACTGAGGGACTTTCACTGTCACTTTCTCCTCCTCCTTCCTTCAGAAGATTTAGAGGTGGTTCACCCAAGTGGTATGTCCCAAATTGCAATTCTTTGCCAGTATTAATGTTAGTCTCTCAGTTGTGTCAGACTCTTTGTGACTCCATGGACTGTAGCCCACCAGGCTCTGACCATGGACTGTTCCAGGCAAGAATACTGGAGTAGGTTGCCATGCCCTCCTCCAGGGGATCTTCCCAACCAAGGGATCGAACTTGGGTCTCCCACATTGCAGGCAAATTGTTTACCATCCAAGCCACCAAGGAAGCAGTTCTTTGCCACTCCCAATTAAATCTCTTCTTCTTGTAAAATATCTGGCTGTTTTATTGTTTTAGGTTAACAACTGCTTTTTTGGCCAAAGTCACCATGGAAAATGAGAAATCTCCCCAGTGTCTCTACATGTGGGAGGAGACTATTCCCTCCCCCACCCATAAGCAGATAAGGCCCTGAGTGATAGTGGGTACAGGCCCACCTCACCCCCCACCCGCTGAGGGAACCCCCTTAGCTGGATAACCAGGATCCCCCCAGGCAAGGTTCAGGCCAAGGTGGTGACACCACTCTAATTTTCCCAAAACCCTGTGCAATTCAGGACTTCCCTTGGTGACTCATTGATAAAGAATCTGCAGTGCAGGCAATCTGGGTTCAATTCTTGGGTCAGAAAGATCCTCTGGAGAAGGAAATGGCTACCCACTCCAATATTCTTGCATGGAGAATCCCATGGACAGAAGAACCTGGTGGGCTACAGTCCACGGGGTCACAAGAGTCGGACATGACTAAGCAACTATGTTGCAAGATGCTGTGGAGCACTTCTCAACCAGCCTTGTGCTCAATGCTTAACTTGTACCTGCTCAGTCCTCCCAGCCCTTTTAAGGTCAGGACAGCTACCACCTCCATTTGGAGCGGTGGGGGGGACTACCTTCCCGGGACAGGGAAGGTGTGCTGCAATCCATGGGGTCACAAAGAGCTGGACATGACTTAGCAACTAGACAACAATCTTCCCAGATAGTCATTGCAGGCCACAGCTGACACACAAGCAATCTTGCATCTTCACCCTTAATCTGCTTTTCAGTTTCTGGGCATTTCAGAGTGACCTGAAGTCCAAGCCAGAACTGTCGGGGGTGCGGGGGGTGGGGGGACCTCCTCTGGGGGGTATTTTATCACATTCGTTTTCCAAGCTAAAGTGAACAATTTGGGGAGAAGAAGTTTGTTATCTCGGGACTAGCCCATCACTTAAGTTGTGAGCTAGTCTGTGGATACGATAAATATTTTATGTTCTAACAGTGAATTCACAGCATTAAAATGATATCACTGCAAGCTTTTGCACAGCTTACAGACATCAGCATGGTCTTCGCAAAATCTTATAGTTCACCAGGCCCACCAACTAAAAATTAAGCCATTAATTTTTAATGGGGGGATGGAGCCTCTTAAAAAATTAGTCCCTGAAGACTTTATCAATATTATTATTGCACTCTTTCAAACATGCATAATGTGACCCCTTTATTGTGGAGGTCTACTGTATACTAGGGGCTTCCGTGGTAGCTCAGATAGAAAAGCATCTGCCTACAATGTGGGAGACCTGGGTTTGATCCCTGGGTCGGGAAGATCCCCTGGAGAAGGAAATGGCAACCCACTTCAGTACTCTTGCCTGGAGAATCCCATGGACTGAGGATCCTGGTAGGCTACAGTCCATGGGTTCGCAAAGAGTCGGACACGACTGAGCGACTTCACTTCACTTCACTGTATGCTAATGTGTGTATTCAGTCGCTCAGTCGTGTCAGACTCTTTGCAACCCCATAGACTGTACCCCAGCAGACTCCTCCATCCCCGGGATTTCCCAGGCAAGAATATTGGAGTGGGTTGCCATTTCCATCCCTGGGGGATCTTCCGGACCCAAAGCCGTGTCTCCTGCATTTCCTGCATTGGCAAGTGGATTCTTTACCACTGAGCCACCTGGGAAGGCCACCATGTACTAGTAGGGGGCTCAGATGTTCCCTGGCCCAGGTCCCTGGGGATCTGTGGGGTCCACCTTCCTGGTCGGAGCTCATGACCACTGTTGCTTCCTACAGGCCTGTGTGTGCACCTCATCCCCCGCAGCCATGGCCCTGGTGAGCATCAACCAGCTGCCCGAGAACATCCTGCTGGAGGTGTTCACACACGTGCCCGCCCGCCAACTGCTGCGGAACTGCCGCCCGGTGTGCTGCCTCTGGCGCGACCTCATTGACCTCGTGTCCCTCTGGAAGCGCAAGTGCCTGCGGGAGGGCTACGTCACCGAGGACTGGGACCAGCCTGTGGCCGACTGGAAGGTCTTCTACTTTCTGTGCAGTCTCCGCAGGAACCTGCTGCGCAACCCGTGTGCTGAAGGTGAGCGGGGGCTGCCTCCCTCCCTTTCCTGAACCTCAGGACCTTTGCACTTGCTGTTCCCACACTACCTGGACTATTCCCTCACTGCCCCCCACCCCCCTGCCCCAAAACCTGTCACGCTTCCTTGGTCCTTCTCATCCATCAGGTCTCAGTTCAGAGATATGCCCTGATCCTGCATCTGAAAACAGTGCCTGCCTCATGTCACATCGCCCCATTTCCTTCCTTCATTGCACTGGTCATAACCTAGAATTACTCAGTTTCTTGGTTTTTTTTTTTCCCTCTGCTACAAATTTCAAGTTCCTGGAGCCTGACAGATCTTGCCACTTGGCACCCCGTGTCCACATAGCAAGTGCTCAGGACACATTGGTTGAATGAATGAGCATACGCCCTGCCCCCCTTCTTATCTAGTTCAGTCTTTGCTGTCTAAGGGCTATGTGCAAGCTGGCTCTGTGCCTGGTCTGAGTCATTAGCCTCCTGTCACCTCATGATACAGAGGAGGAAAATGAGGAATTTGAGAGGTGACTACAATCACATGGTTTGAGGCTCCAGTTTTGCCTATGTTCTCTTATATTTGCCAGGGTTTGTTTATTTTTTCTCCCTTCATTAGCACCTTCATTTCATATCCGGCATCATGCTTCCTGCTGGGATAAAGCAGCAACTGATCAAGAGGCCTGGTCTGTACACTTAGAACCTTTTTCATGCTTGTTTTCTCTCTCTGTTCTCACAAGTGTCACGCAGGTTAGCCAAAGAAGGTAGGCTCCATTTTATAGGTGGGGAGTATGAGGCCCCCCAAGATGAGTGTCTTGCCCAAAGATCTAGAACTGCCCAGCTTCTGGAGTCTGGTCCTGACTACTAATAGCCAGGCCCCATATAGGCCCCACTCAGTCTCCTGGCCTGCCCCAAATTCTGCTCAGAAGCTGCCCAGCAGGTCCAGGCCACCAGCTTGGCTCATCCAACCCTGCAGAGACAGCCACCCAGCCTTGCTCAGCTCTCCCTGTGGGCCTGCCCTGGGCAGTAGCCCAGCTCCTGGATTTCTGAATTCTTCTGGTTCTCTGCTGGGGAGCCCCCAGGGAACCTGGGGAATAGATGTGGGCTCCTAGTAGAGGGAACAAAGGAGTGATTTGGAAAAGCTCCCTTGGTGATTGTTCTGGAAAGCCTGGAGAAGAATCAACTTGTTTCGGGGGAGACAGAAAGGATAGCCTTATGCCTCCAAATCTACTCTGCCAATCTGGTGGGGAACCTGTCCACAAATACAGGGTTACTACACGGCACCAACCCAGAGGATGCCCGGCCCCTCAGTCCTCCCTCCTGCCCAGGGCAGCAGGTTCCCACCACCCACCAGCAGACCCCCTCAGATCTCAGTTACATAGCTGACCTCCCAGACGTCGACACTGGGAGGACTGCCAGAAAGTGGTCTGATGTGGGATGAACTCACACTAACCGTTCAGAAGAGAATTACCCTCACGGGCCCTGCATCATTCAGTGGTTTGAGAACTGAAACTTGGGTATTTCCCAGAGCCCCCCCAGCAATATGGAAGTGAGGAAAGTTTGGTGTAGAATTTCTGCTTATACTTTTTCTTTTTTTTTTTTTGCCCCCAGCTTCACATTAGGAATTTAGCCAGTCAGAAAACAAAGTTGGAAAGTGGGAGGGGAGGGTCCTGGATCAGAGCTGATGCGATGGGCTCAGGTCAGAATGTGGAGCAGTGAGGGGTGGGTCTTTGCAGAGTGGCTTCAAAGTGGCATGGGGGGCATGCCTTGAGATCTGAGCCTCCCCAACCCCCGCCCCGCCTCCCAAGATCAAGTGGAGAGGGCCAGGCTGAGCATTCACACAAGGGATCTCACTGGGGTTTCTGTTTTTCCTAGAGGATATGAGATCCTGGAAAATCGACTCCAACGGAGGGGACCAGTGGAAGGTGGAGAGCCTCCCTGGAGCACATGGCATAGACTTTCCTGACTCCAAAGTCAAGAAATACTTTGTCACGTCCTATGAGTAAGATAAACTGAGCCAAGAAGCTGTGTGGAGGGAGGAGGGTCCAGACACCTTCTGCCAAATCCCAAGGCCTAAGTGAGGGCCTGCCTATGAAGCTCCAGGGAGGGGGTTCCCAAAACCAGCTCACAGTCTACTGCTACCTAGAGCAGGAATCAACTCAGTGGCCACGTTAAGAGGCAGCAGGGGTGGAAAGCAGTTAGAGGAGGCAGGGAGCCCATTTGAGTGGGGAGGCTAAGTCAGAGGCAGTACAGCCTGTCCCCAGTCTAGGGACCTGAGTTTACAGGTGCCGTCCTTAGGGTGCTGGGAGACTGGGCCTAAGGACTGGGATGGATGCAGCCCAACACAAGTGGGTCAGGCTCCCCGCATGTTCCCCACGGGGCTGCCAGGAAGCAGGAGCCAGAGTCCTCAGCAGCAGTGACTGGCCCACAGTGATCGAGCGGGGACTCCTGGGCCCCTTAAACTACCCCACTGGGTCCAGGCCATGCCTGCAAATGCATGCCTTTCCCTCTGCTCCCCAGCATGTGTCTCAAGTCCCAGCTGATAGACCTCAAAGCCGAGGGCTACTGGGAGGAGCTACTGGACAAGTTCCGGCCGGACATCGTGGTTAAGGACTGGTGAGTGGGCCCCCCCCGCCCCCGAGTCCCACACTCTGCAGCCCTCCCTCTTCTGTTCCTGAGATCCCCTGTAGGGAGTGCCCGTGGAACCCAGCAGTATCTTGGGGCATGGGCTGCCCTCCTTCCTGCTGATAGAGCCAGCACTTACTCATTGAGCACCTGCCTCCCACTACCACCACCACCCTGCACCAGCAGATGTTAACCCCAGTTTACAGATGGGGAGACTAAGGCCTACAGATGCATTGTCACAAACAGGCACGGGAGCAAAAGATACCAGAACCCAGCCTCCTTGGACCTCACAGATACTCACATGCCTCCTTGCCTGTCTGCTACCCCTGCCCCTTTAACCGTTCATCCCACGACTCTATCCCAAGCCCCTACTCCGTGCCCAGAGTAGGGTGGGCACAGGCTCTGCCCTGGCCTGGCTCAGGGCAAAAGCTGAGCCCCGGTGCCAGCCAGGCCCACCACTCTGAGGGTGGAGGGTGGGGTTTGAGGCATGCAGAGCTACGGAGGTTTCAGAAGGTGCAGTGGGACTGCCCAGAGGCTGAGTTCTGTGCCAGCCCCCATCACACAGGCCCTCCCTCCCAAACCTCCATGAAAATGTACAGGTGACACACATCTGACAGCCCAGGCCTTTATCTCTGTAAAGAGCCTGTTGCTTTTTAGATTGAAAAAAGCATTATGTTGAAAAAAAAGATTACGTTGAAATCTCCAGTGAAACACCCAAGAAGGTTATTGCCCCTTTTCTCAGATGGGCTCATTGAGGCCCAGAGCAGACTATACCCCCGGGCACATGGAGCACTGCAGCCACCTGGGCCTCATGGGCAGAGCAGGGCAATGAAACTCAGAGCCCCAGTTTATGGGCCTGCTGCCTGCTTGCTTCCAGGGCCGCCTCTGTCTTGGGGTGCCCAGTCCTAAGCCCCACCCTCCCACAGGTTCGCCGCCAGAGCAGACTGCGGCTGCACCTACCGCATCCGAGTACAGCTGACCTCAGCCGACTACCTCGTCCTGGCCTCCTTCGAGCCCCCGCCCGTGACCATCCACCAGTGGAATGATGCCAAGTGGACAGAGGTGAGGCCTCACCTGCTTGCCCCTCACCACCTGCTTCTCCCAAGGCCAGGATGGCAGGAAATCGGGAGCAGCCACAGGGCCTGGAATGCCCCAGTCCACTGCCTGGAGCTCCTGCCTTCTGGGCGAGAGGCTCTTTGTTGCAGGACCTGGCTCCACCCTTCCCTTCTCCAGCTCAGCCCCTCTCCAGTCCTAGTGATTTCTCTCTCTCCCCTCCCCCTAGGTTTCCCACACCTTCTCGGATTACCCTCCAGGTGTCCGCCACATCCTCTTTCAGCATGGGGGCAAGGACACCCAGTTTTGGGCAGGCTGGTATGGGCCCCGCGTCACCAACAGCAGCGTCGTCATCAGCCACAGGGTGACCAGGAACCCGCCCCCCGCCATGGCGCAGCCCTAGACCTTGCAGAGGCCAGAAGAGGCACCCCACCTGCCCTCTGCACTCCATCTCCACGAGCCATCTGACTGTCCTCTGACAGCCATCCATCCGTCCTCTGCCTGGGCCAGTTGAGTGCCAAAAGTCCCCTGCAGGCAAGAGCTGAGCGTGTAGAGGGCAGCCCCCGCTCTGACCTGGGGCAAACCCAGCTTGTGAACTTACTGTCAGGTAGCTCGGACTTTTTTGTTGTAATAAATGTTTTCAGCAAAACTCGCCTGGGACTGGGTCCAGGGGTGGGGCTACAAGGTCCTTGGCACTTGGGCAGAGAAGCAGCCCCTTCCTTCCAGGTAGTGACAGCCCAGTTCAGCCCTGGGGGCTCTTTATTGAAACAACTCACAGCACAGCATTTGAGACAGACAGAGTTGGCCGGCCGAATCCCAGAAGGCTGAGAAACTGAGGTCCCAGCACTCTTCCCTGCCCTCCTGGGCGGAGAAGGGAGCGATTCCTTCATGAAGGCAACCAGGCCTGGGCAACCCAGGGCTGGAGGCAGGGGTCGTCCATACACAGAGACAATAAGAGCACTTGGAATCAGGGTGGCCCTGCAGCACGGCCCAAGGCTGGGCCCCCAAAGTCCGACAGTCGTGGCTTTCCTGGGGGGTATGGGGGAGGGCAGGTGCACCCTCAGCTGCTTTTATGCGCCCGCTCTTCTACGTAGAGCTGCATCTGATGGACAGGAATAGACACTATGGTCAGACAGACAACCAGGGCACCTCTTCTAGGGAGCCCATGGGGTCTCTGCCCAGGGTGGGGCTGTGGGGTCACTGCCAAGGGTTAAAAGAAGAGGGGATTGGGAGCCTTATGCCAGGCACGCCCTGTCATTTCCCCTGAGCCTTTGTCCACAAGCCACCTGGCGAGGCCTCTCAGCACGGGGGCCCCAAGCAGCTCACCTTTAAGATGTCTGATGTCATGGTCTTTAGAGGTATCAGTCGGGGGTCGTGCATGTGGACATCCTGCTCGTCTGCCAGGATCCAGGGGAAGTCCTGGGGAGGGGACCAAGGGAAAGGTGGCAGGGGGCCTATTGCCCACCTTCACTTTTGCTCCCCTCTCCCCTTCCAGAACTGGCATCCTCAGACATCAGGAAGCATCAGAGCCATCAGGGAATTGCCGTTGTGCAGAATCCCAAGTTCCCCCACCAGAAAGGCCTAGTCTGTAGATCTGAGCTGGCCTGGGAGCCCCAGTGACTCAACATGCCCCAAACACCAGTTCAGAAACTGGATCGAGGCTCCCCTCCACTGAGCGGGTGCCTCGCCCTCCTCTCAGCGCTGAGTGCCCAGGTAGGGTGCTGACAAGGTAATGACCTCAGAGCTGATGCAGGAGAGATACTGATGCCAGCACTGCCATAAGTGGTGTGATGAGTGCCCCGCTGGGGCAACACCCCTGCTCGAACAGAACTCTGATTCTCAGCGCCTCCCAACTGTCTCCTGCCCACCCTGCTACACCAGTCCCATCTCACCTTGATGACCTGGATCTTCTCCATGTTGCGAGTGGCAGCTTCTCTCGTGTGCACTAAGACGGTGAAGGTACAGCCTAAAGAGGCCAAGTTCGGTCAAGCCTGGACCACCCCATACCTGCCACTGGACACAGCCTTTTCCCACACAGCCTAACTGGCACAGCAACCCCACAGAGCAGAGTGTGAATCCAGTGCTCAGACAAGACACTCAACAGGGAGACTTAAACCCCAGGTGGAGTCAATCAGGGAGGCCTCCTCGAGTAGGAGGGTTCTTAAGAGGGGTTCTAAAAGGCAGGAAGGAAGAGAGGAGGCTTGGTGCAGCCAAGTAGGGACCCAAGGACACAGGCCAACACGGAGCCATGGAAATGCCCTGGGAAGAAGGGGTGGGGAAGAGCACACCTGGGGGGTTGTGGTCCAGAACAGCATCACACACACTGATCTTCAGGATGAAGGCTCGGAGCAGCTGCTCCACGTGAGATAGCAGGGAGTCGGAGCTGGGAAGGAGAGAGGAGGAGGGTCTCCCAGCACATGGGTGTCCCCCCTCCCACTGGCAGGCAATCAACCCTGGAAGCAGCCCTGGGGGTACAGAGGGCCTGGTGCTTCTGAGGGCCTGCCTACTTGATTTCACATGGTTAAAATCCTCTGGGGAGTTTAAAACCAAAGCCTTGTCCCATCCCAGGCTAATTAACTCAGAATGGGGTGGGGTGGGGGGCGGGGGGCGGGGAGCATAAGGAACCCTAGTAGGTGGTTCTAACGTGCAGTCCAGTCTGAGAACCAGGACACCACGCCAGGAAGGGACAGGGCTTGCTTGAGGCCACACAGCAAGTAGGGACAGATTCTAGTGCCCTGACCTTACCACAGGAAGCCAGCAGCTGACCAGCCCAACACAGCCACCCAAAGTCAACTTCTAGTTGACTATGGACTGGATGCTTGACTGGGAAGTCAGGAAACTGGGTCTGTGTCCTAGCTCTAGGTGACCAGGTCAAGATCATCTGAGAACCAGGACACAGTTGATTGATTTCTGCATCTATAAAACGAGGTTGGGACCAGCCATTTGCCAATGCTGTGATTTTCCAGGTGTGATACAGGACAGTTTTCTGTGATACAGGAGGGTTTTCTGTGTAACCTGTGTGACATCCACAGAGACTGCTGGGTGGCCAGCTGTGCCTTGGCCACTAACAGGCCCCGTTAAGGCAGCACACCTCACCACGTGTCCTCCCAGGTCTTTAGCAAGGCATTCGGGGGTTGCCTTAAAGGGGTTAGGGTAGGGGTATTGCTAGGGAGCCTGTGGATGGGGAACAAGGCAGCACACCTGATGGATAGCAGTGGGGGCTGGGTGATTTCGAAGACGAATTTCTCCACTGGGCGGTGCTCCTTGTCCAAAATTACCACCACCACTTTCTCCACATCATTCTGCAAGGACAAGATCCCCTCCTCCAGAGCTGGGTCCCTGCCTCCTGTCTCCCTTGCTCACTCCCCTCCCTGCCACCTGCTCCCTGCCCAGGGAAGGTTGGGAAAGACACTCGAAGTCCTGCTCAGCTCCCAGGCCCAGAGTCCCTGGGATCCCAGAAAGAGGTTTGAGAAGTTGAGCAGGCATCCCAGTGGTACCCACGGAGAGGAAAGGATGCTGGGTCCCATTGTAATGCTAGGATGTCTCAGGGAGCAGAACAGATAGAGGAAGGAAGCCCTGAGGGGCCAAGCACAGACAGAACTTGGGGCAGAGGGAGAGAAAGGAACATGAGAGAAGGACCCAAAACCCTCAAGGCAGGCCCCACTCAGCAAATTCCACGAACCAAGGCTCCAGGCCCAGTATGCCTTGAGCATACCCACATGCCCTGGGGCCTGTCCCTGGGCAAGGGTGGTCTCCAGAGAGCAGGGAATAGGCTTCTGGGTGTTATTAGTCATGTGGACCTGACATGGTCCCAGCATTGCCCCATCCTGGAGCATGGAGGGGCACGGGAGGCAGCGTAGGCTGGGGGCCTGGTGTTCTCACCTTTTCCAGGAGTGGCTTGACGCAGTGCAATGTGTCCTGGATATACTGGTTCAGCTCCGGATGACAGGACATCTACACACAACCCCCACGACGGCTGGTGAGGTTGCAGCACTGATGGGGGGACCCCTGACACCCTCTCCAGCTGCCCAAGGCCCTGCCTGCCTTTGGAGAAAAGACCAGCTGTTCCCTAGGGCTCCCCACCAGGAGACAGACTTCCCCGTCATGAGGCTAAGAACTGAACTATCCACAGAGGGGAAGAAGTTAGAAGATCCTAAGAATTCAGTCCCAACATTAGCATTTAAAAAAGCATTAGGAGTTTCTAATGCAGGGCCACTGAGCTCCTCCAGAGTCTGAGATGTCTCTAAATTGTGGGGGTTTGAGCATACAGGCATTTTTCCAGAGAAGGGATCCAGGAATTTAATCCATTTTCAAACATTAAGAATCTGGAACTAAGGACCTGAGTGGCCTCAGGCTTAACTCCTCTGCCTTTCCTTACTTCATCTGTGGAAGACCTCATTTAAAAAGAAAAAGGAGGATTAAGTGAGACAAGTACCTAGTACACAGTGTTGTTTAGTTCTTAAGTTGGGTCTGACTCTTGTGACCTCATGGGCTGGAGCCCACCAGGCTCCTCTATCCATGGACTTCTCCAAGCAAGAATATTGGAGTGGGTTGCCATTTCCTTCTCCAGGGATCTTCTAAACCCAGGGATCAAACCCGAATCTCCTGCATTGGCAGGTGGATTCTTTACCACTGAGCCACCAGGGAAGCATGGTACACAGTGGGTACTCAGTAAGTGCTGATTCTTTTTTTCATTTTCCCTGTATATCTTTTTGCTTGTTTTTTGTTTCCCACCCCCCACCCATATCTTTTAAGCTTCCACCACCTTCCAGTGTTCAGTCATTTGTTCTAATATTTACTGAGTGCTTTCTAAGGGGCAAGAACTTCTAGAGGCTGGTGATGTAGTCACATGTATTTACTGCTTCCTCTGCCTTTCAACCTAAAATAAATTGTTACAATTAGGGTAAATGAGGGTAGAGAGAAGGTGCCTGAGGTTATAGGAATCCCCTTCAAACCAACCATCATCAGTTTCAGGAGACCTTTAAAAATCAAAGATGGGGGAAGGGTGGGGGGACTCTAATTAGAGGACCTGGTCCCTAACTTCTGGCAAGGGGAATTCCCAGTTCAGAGAGGAGGGAAGGAGATGCCACGGCAGTGAGGGATGGGAGGCTGTGGAGCTATTAGCTGCTTCTGTAAACTAGAAGGCAAGGTCAGGCCGCTGGGGAATGAGGGCGCTGAGCCTGAAGGTGGAAGAGAGTTAAAAATCCCCTCTCCATCCGCTCTGTGATGCGGAGGTGACCCAGTGCACCCAACCTGGCTGTGGGGGCTCACCTGAACAGGCACATTGTACTTCTTACGCTTCTGGAAGATGCCCACCGGGTAGACCTCACGCACGTAGAGGATCAGGTGCACGGCCACCTCCAGGAACTCGCAGAGCACATCGGCCACCACTGAGAGACGGGCAGAACGCGGCGCGCTCGTCGAGGGGGAAGCCCGCCAGCCCTGGCCCTCCCTCGCCTCCTGCCCCGGGTCCGCAGGTCCAGCCTCCCTACCTTGACCAAAGTTGAGGTCCTGTCGCGTGAGTGTGGTCATCCTTCCCGACACCTGGGGGGTGGGGCAGAAGTGGGAGCTAGTTTCAGAGGCCCCGGCAGCCGCAGGGCCCGCCCACTCCCACTGCCCCGCCCCTCGACCTGGGAGGGAACCCGGGCAGGACTGCCAGTCCCTTCTCACAGAAGCAGAGCAGCTGGGAAAGAGCTCCCCCCACACCCCCGCCCGCCCCACACAGGTGTTAGAGCTGGGAGGCAGCCTAACGCCTGCGATCAGCCTCCGTGCACTGGCCGCTTCGGCCTGCAGTCTCGTGGGGCTAGAAAATGCCAGAGTTGTGCCCGCATGAAAGGGCACGGCAGCGGCCGCAGAGGGAACAACTGGATGCGCAGGGCCAGGAACGTAAAGCTGGACACGCGGAAAGCGAAACTAGGCTGGAATTAAGACTTCACCCCCTGCGAGGCTGGATTCCTCCTCTGCGAGAATCCCGCCCCTTCCCTCTCTCCCCGTACCGGCTCCGGCCTCGATTCCCGGCTAGGGGCCCGGCCCCCGCGAGGGAAATCACCGACCAGATTACTCCCGCGCGCCTCCCGCTCAACCCGCGGCCGGGCGCTGCTCCGTGACGTCCGCGGCGCTCCGCCGGGTCCTAACGCCGGCTCCAGCCACGCCCACTCCCCACTCAGCCAACCACGGGTGCGGGGGGCGGGGCTGTCAGAGGGGTGGGCCCTGCCTGGGCGCCAAAGTGATCCCAGGGCCCGAGTCGGCTGACGCTGCGCCACGCCGCTTCCTTTCAATTAAAGGTGGGCGCGAAAAAAACAAAACAACTCCACATCGGATCGCAGCATATTTGCCTCCTCATGGCATTTCTCTCGCTTTAGGACATAAGGGACGAGGGCGGGTAGGTGTTGCTGGTGAGAGCCACTGGAGGTCACAGATGGGCACTCTGGACAGCGACATCTACCGCTAGCTCCAAAGTCACCATACCCGGAACCTCAGCTGCCCAACCGAAAGCGAATCCGCCGGCTCCGGGGCGGGGATAGAGGAGGGCCGGCGAGCAGCGGGGACGTCCACGTTCCCATCCTCAACTGGAGCCTATTTGCAGCCAGTCTTTACCTCCCAAGAAGAAAAAAACCTCCCGGGTTATGCATCGTAACAATAACTGACATAACAATAGCCGCTTCCTAGGTGGCTCAGCGGTAAGGAATCCTCCTGCCCATGTGGGAGACGAAGGAGACAGGGGTTCGATCCCAGGGTGAGGAAGATCCACTGGAGGAGGAAATGGCAACCCACTCCAATTTTCTTGCCTGGATAAGCCCATGGACAGAGGAGCCTAGCAGACTACAATCCATGGGATGGGGTCTCAAAGAGTCGAACACGACTGAGCATGTACACAAAGCCCAAGAACAAGCCAAGTGCCAGAGACTGGGCTTAGTGTGTCCGTGGATCAGCTCACCAAGTTCTCAAAACAATTCCACTGCAACGGTTGCTATTATTGTCCCCGTTTTACAGATGAGCCAAACAAGGTTCAGAGGGGTGAAGTAACCCGCCGGAGTTACCCAGCTACTGGGGGATGGTGTGGACACAGATGTCTTCTGCCACTTCACTTTATAGCTCGAATGTTCCCCAAAGGCATGGACTCTGGAAGGGCTGAGAGGATCCTGAGAAATAATATTAATATTAAAATAATTCCTAACACGAACACCCACTATGTTTCAAGCACTGATTTCTTTAATTTTCTCATTAACAATAAATAACAGCCAAGCTTCCATTTTACAGTCCTACTTCATAGATGGTAAAACTGGCTCAGAGATGTTTCCTAATTTGCCCAAATCACACAGCTGGAATACAAACCTAGTTCTGACTTCTACTCTAACTCCAGGGCTTCAGCTTATTTTCAACCCCTTTATTTTACAGGTGGAAAAACTAAGGTCAGGGAAGTGGCTGCAAAGTTATGGACAACAAACCAGGGACAGATATCTGGGGATCTTGTCTCTGACCTCCAGGGACACAAAAGCTTGTTAGAAGTCATGCCCATCTGTTGGTACACAGATCTAGCCAGGAAAGTTTACTGTTTACCGCTTAGTATCAGAAACCTGCACCCCCTTCACCCCAGATGCTTTCAAACCTGCATTTACACATTTCATATGGCAGTGGTGATGGAGGAGAGAATAAGTAATCTGGCCCATTAAGCCAAAGATGCCAACAGAGCATTTCTCAGAAGCAGTCCCAGGAAATCTGAATCAAAATCCCCGGGGAGCCCGTTAAACACTTGGAACCTGGGCTTTCCGGACTTACGATATCAGTCGGGGTGCACAACAGGGCACTGGCCCTTTAACAAGCTCCCAGGGGCCTGATGCTGAAGAAAGGGTGGGAATTGCAACCACCCTAATTGCTTAGGAAAAGTCTGCATTTCATAAAATTGCAATGTTTAACTTTATAGAATGAAGGATTTATTTTAGAAATGGATGTGCCTGGCAGAACATTCTGGGCACAGCAACCCTTCCCAAGACCTGGAGACCCTGCCCACATCACATAGGAGAGGACCATTTCCACATGGAGCCAGCTGAGCAGCTCACTTGCTTGTAGGCAGGTGTCCCCTGGCTCCTTGAGAGTTAGTCACTGTGGATGCTTGGGAAACTGGGGAAAATGAATGTCCCTCTTTGCCCCTCCCTGGAGGCTGCTCAAGCAGCATTTTCATTGGTAACAGAAAGTGGCAGTCTTAAGGGGGGCATTCTTTGTGAAAAGTCCCTTAGGATGGAGCTCTAGGGAGCAGAAGCTCAGAGCCCAGTTACTCCTGTGGGGTGGCCTCCAAGGCACAGTGCAGGTGACGTGGGGTCTCGTGCCAGTGTTCCTTCCATTGACCCTAAGTTCCAGCCCCCTGCCCAAAGAAGACATAGTGCAAGCCACTCAGAGGTCTCCTGCCACACACAGCTAAAGAACTTCAGAGAAACCTTGGTAGACAAACACCCCCAAACTCACATTTTTCCAATAGGGACACTGAGGTCCAAACAGCTTTGTCTGACCCTAGGGTACCTACCTTGTCAACTAGAAACTGGATAAAATACCTCAGTTTGGGGCTTTGGATTCAGAGCTAGCCATAAACAGAGGAAGGGGGGCTAGGAGACAGCTGAGGAGGGATCAAACTAATATGACTTCATCCCCCAAAAGGCCTCCATCTCATTTGTGAAATGAACAGGCTGGACAGATGTTCCCTAAACCTCTGATGACCTCGGGTTCCACAGGGGCCAAGAAGCTGGGGATAGGCAGGGGCAGAGGGGCAAATCAGCATGGGGCCTTGAGAGAGTTCTGTGAAAAGTCATCTGTCACTTCTGTCCACACGGCATCTGATTTTTCATACCTTAATCACATCAGCATGATGGATGGTCATGGGACCCAGATTACATTATGGAGTTAATTTATTACATTTTTGAATATCCATTTGCTGGGAGTCTGCTTTTCAAAGTTATTTGCATATTCTTCACCATAATGACAATATGTAGGAGGGCACCTGGGAAGGAAGGGAAGATGTTTAGGAGGAGAAAGAGCTTATTTGCCAACTGCAGCAGGTTCCTGAGGGTCTTCAATGGGAACAGAAAGAAACTCACTCCCTAGAGACATTTAAATTGAAACTGAGAGGTCAGATGTAAGAGTTTTGCCAAGACTGCATGGACGAAGGAAGATTCCTGGGGTTCACTGAACAACACACAATGGACGAATGGGGTGTAACAGCAAGCAATGAAGTGTCCAGACCCCTAAGATGTTTCCTCTCCTTCCCACCAGGATGATCACAGGACATATCATCCATCCCATCGCTGCCTAAGGTTCCCAGGACACCAGACACAGGAAGGCGGGAGGGGCCACAGAGAATCAGCCAAGTTTAGCCTGGTAACAATCCCCCTGTCACCAGGGAACAGTGCTGACAGTGGGATTGACCCCAGTGCTCAGGAACCCAGCCAGCTGGGACACCCCCTGAGCAGAGGCCCAGCCTCATTCATTCTCTAGGTTCAACACCTCCGCAATGCCTGGCCAAATCCAGGTTCTAAATGAATGTGTGTCCAATGAGTGAATGAAAGAATCTGAAGGAATGAAATGGTGGTGGATAGTGACTCACTGACACTTGCCTGACATGAGTCCTTATTGAGTCCGGATGAGGAGCAAAGGCCTCTGATTTCAGTGGGCGGGCTCTAGGTGGTGGTGTGCAGAGAAGAGCTGCTTTCACAAACGAAGCAAGAGCTGCAGAATGCACCCCCCACGGTGCCCCTCACACCCTGCTGTGAGAGGCCGCTGCTGTTCTCCCTACTACTGCCCTTTAACCAGATGAATCTCGATGTCTTCATCTGTAAAATGGGATCGTGGTAGCACCAATTCCATAGAGGTGAGCAAGGAATACATGAGATAATGTTTGTAAAGACACAAAGTGCACAATGTCTGGCACATAAATGCCCAATTAATGACTGTGGTGACAATGATATTAAGTTTGACACACACTCTACCTAAGCCCCTAGAGCAAACACTCTGGACCAGCCATCACACCTTTCAAATCCCCGTCCAAAACATCCATAGCTGTGCCCCTTGTGCTATTTCCATTTCCCCAGGCAGCAAAGTAAAGTGAAGTGAAGTCACTCAGTTGTGTCTGACTCTTTGCGACCCCATGGATTGTAGCCTACCAGTCTCCTCCGTCCATGGGATTCTCCAGGCAAGAATACTGGAGTGGGTTGCCATTTCCTTCTCCAGGGGATCTTCCCGACCCAGGGATCGAACCCGGGTCTCCCACATTGGAGGCAGACACTTTAACCTCTGAGCCACCAGGGAAGCAGGCCACCCCCAAAATGCCCTGAAGGGGGACGTGCATCCTCATGGCCCAAGATGCTTAAAGATAAGGGGCTACAGCTGAAATCAGCACTTCTCCCTGCTCATCTGGCCTTCTGGTGTGAGGTGGGACCTGTACAGCTGCCCCAGATCCTGGGTTCCACTGCTGACCTCAGACTCAGGTCAGAGTCCTGACCTTAGGCCAAAAACACTGGATGGCCTCCAACACATCATCAACC